CCTGCCGGCCCTGCCCAGCCCACCCTCTGGCCTTGGCTCGCCTGACGCTCCAACGCCTCCTGTCTGAGCCGTGGGAGCTGTGGAGGCTGCGTGGTGAAGGCGTCCCCGGGGCCCTGGGCCTGGCATGCCCAACGGCAGGGGGTGGAGGGAGCTGCTCCGCCCCCTCCCGCGGTCTCGCTGGGGGACCCCAGGAAAGTCTGCCTCTGTGCCCGAAGTACGACCGGCCTTTGGAGACCCGAGGAAATCCAGGCCAGCGCAGAGCTGGCCTAGTAACGTGTGGCGGGTCAGGGAAAGCCGGCGGTTCTCAGGCTTGGGCCACGGAGGCTGGGGACTGTCCTCGGACACCCTCTGTCCTCGGGCCTCTGCCTTGTGGCCAGGGCTGCCCCAGGATTCAGGCTCTGGAGCAGACCTTTGCCCTCCTTCCAGGGTCCCTTGTTTCTGAGGTGCAGTGTCCATTCCTGATTTCTTGGGAGTGACTCGCAGTCAGGGGAGGGGACCTGGGAAAGGAGCAGATGAGGTGGGAGCCCTAGGAACCACTTGTCTGGTCACACTGCCCCAATTCTGATGGAAAACAGGATGGCTATACGTTTGCAAGAGGGCGCCTCCTAGCAGGCCCACAGGCACCCCTGAAAAATGCTGGTAAGGGGGCAGGGACGGACAGGAAGCAGGACGTGGCTGATCAGAGGCAGTATGAGGTCAGAGGGACCCAGGTTCAAGCCCCAGCTCTGCTGCTTCCGAACCGCAGGACTTTGGAAAAGTGAGTCCACCCCTCAGTTTCTTCATCTGAGTGTCTTCGTAAAACCCCGGGCGAAAAATCGTCCCTGAGCTGCCTCTGTCCCAGGGTTGCCATGAGGACCTAATGAGGTCGGGCCCTGGGACACGTGTTCAGCTAACGCTCCCCATGCCAGTGGTACCTGTAAATGTCTCAGGAGACGGAGGTAGGAAGAGTCAGAGACCCCTGGCTTCCCCCAGGCAACCTGCCTGTTTCGTTCTCCTGGCCAGAGACATCAGCACATCCCATAGGCAGGGCCAGAGCCTCAGAGGTCCCAACCTCCTCTTCTGTCCCCTCCCTCCGTCTCCCGATCCAGTGGTCGAGGGCAGGGGTTGGCAAACTATGGCCTATGGACCAAATCTGGTCCACCACCTGTCTTTGTAAATAAAGTCTTACTGGAACAAACTAACTTACATCCTGTCTATGGCTGTGACAGGCTTGAGTTGGCATAAAAGAGACTATGTGACTCGCAGAGCCTAAGCATTTCCTATCTGGCCCTTTACAGAGAAAGCTTGCCAACTCCTGGTCTAGGACCACAGGGCAGCCAGGTACCCCCTGGGGCTGCCTGCGGGAGGGGCCCCGGGGCCCTTGGAGCCGCTTTCACCACTGCAACCAGACCTCAGCTTTGCTCCCTCCCGAGCCTACCATGGGAACTAAAGGACAACAGTTAAGCTGCCCCTGTGGGCTAGAGAGGGAGAAAGAAAGAAAAAGAGTGAGAGCAAAAGAGGGAGAGAAAGTCAGAGAATAGTAAAGAGAGAATATGAGAGAGAGAGAGAGAACAAGAAATAGAGAAGAGAGAGAGAGAGAGGCAAAACATGGCTTTAGCTGGGAGCTGGGGTCCTGGAGGAGGCAGCAGCCTTGCCTAGCTCAGGTCTGGAGCCTGGGCTACCACCAGGGACAGGCCCAGGCCTGGCTGGCCAGCCAGGTAAGCCCACAGCTCCCTAGGGGCAGGCCGAAGCAGGGGAGGACGACAGTTGGACGGCCTCCTCCTCCTCCTTGCTGACCTCATTTTGGTTTCCTATCACATCCAAAATTAGTCCAATTTACAACCTCTCGGTCACAGGAAACTAAAATTGGTGCCTCCACGCCTGGAGTCAGTGAATGGCATGGAGCCTTCAGCCAGCCTGGAGTCTGTGGCCAGAGCAGCCTGGGGAGGGCGGGGTGCTGGGCCTGGCTCTCTGAGGGGGTGTGGGGCTTCCCTCCGACACCTTCCTGAGGCTCGACGTCAGGGGAGAAATGGGCCTGTGTGCCTTCAGGCCAACAAGCAATAAGGTCTCAGCACAGTGGCCCTCAGTGGTCCCAAAGGCAGGAATCACAGGCCTTCTAAAGAGAACCGGGGGCGGGGTGGGGTGCTGAATGAAGGCAACAGGACAGCCCCCAGCTAAGAAGGGGTCAGGGCTGCCGGTTTTCTAAGTGAGAGGCTGTCCCTTAGCTGGGAATGAGGCAGTTCTAATAGCTGAAAATGGAACCTATGTCCCAGTGGGTGAGAATGGTCATAGTTCGAAGGATTTAGAGCCTGGAAGGGCTCAGCTGTGGGGACATGGAAGTTTCTAAAAGCCAAGTTGAGAATAAGGCAGCCCCATGGTGGGGGAGGAGAGAATATACTTTCTGCTGTGAACAGGGACCAGCCGTATGTCCATGGCCCAAGAGAGGGACTGTCTTGTTTGGCAAGCTCAGAGAGCTTTTAAAAGGGAAACGGCTCTTCTGTCTGACGTCCAGACCACCCTGGTCAGAAAAGAGAAGCTAGCTGGGGGGCTCAACAACCCAACCGCCAAGAACACACTACCCACCAGCTGCCAGTGGGACAGCTTGCTGCCCAAGACTGGGACAGCCCATGGGGATGGCTGAAATGAGGACGGACCCATGGGGACAGCCCAGCTGCTCATGGTGGGCCTGCAGGATAGACGGGGAAATGGTGCAAGCAAGAGTGGGACAAGCCGATGGAGGCGCCAGATGGTCAAAAATGGAATGGCTCAGCCTCTGGGTCTAGAGCCGTCTGCTGGCTGTAAGAGGGAAGGCCCGGTGGCAGATGAGTGGCATCAAACGCAGGCTGAGAGTGGGCCAGCTCCCCGGGGATGGGATGGTCCCATGGCTGAACAACCACAGGTGGCCCACAGAGGGATGACCTGACGGCTGGGATGGGGCGGCCAGTCAAAGAGGATGGGATGACCTGACGATTGAAATGAAGCTGCCTCGGGGGTAGAGAATGGAATGGCTTGGTCACCGGCAAGGAAAGAGACTGATGTGGGGGGGCGGGTGGGGGGCACAGCCGAGGCTGGGATGCGACACCGACACCGTATGGCTGTTAGTTGTGCCCGATGGCAAGGAGGATGCGCGTCTCATGAAGGGATGAGATGAGCCAGGGGCCGAGGACGGCGCCTCTGGGCGCGGCAGTGGGCGTGCCGGGGGGGTCCCGCTGTGCCCCCCCGGCGGGGGCCGACCCGAGCTCGCGGCTCCGGCGGCCACAGGGCCATGACTCACTTGGACAAGTTGAGCTTCCCTGCGGCCAGGTGGCTCTGCACCGTCCGCCAGCGGCCTCTCCCCGCCTTGCCACCGCTGCCCGGCTCGCTGGGGGCAGCCCCGCCGCTTCTCGAGGTGTCCTCTCTGGGTGGCGGCACCAGCGCTGGCTTCTCCCCCGGCCGGCCTTCCCGCCCCACCGCCAGCCCCGCCGCGGCGGCCACCTTGGCGCCCGACAGGAGGGTACCACTGAAGGCACGTGGGAGGCGGCCGGGCCAGAGGGGCGCCGGGGGTGGCGGTGGCGGGGGAGGGCGGGCCACGGTGGGGGTCGGGGTGGGAGGGGGAGAAAAACAATGACAGATAAAAGGAAGAAAGAGACAGTGAGAGAGGAGGAGAGAGACAGACGGACAAGAGACAGACAGAGAGAGAGAGAGAGACATCAGCACTGCAAGTGGGTTAACAGCAGAGCCTGCAGAGAGGAGAGAGGGGGCCGGGCGGGCTGGGGTCGGAGAACAACGCACCACGACAACGGAGGGGCGGCCCCTCCCCACCGCCTGGGGCGGGGGCGGCGGGGATGGGGGCAGGGCAGCCACCTCCAACTCTATCCCACAGGACAACGAAGGGTTAACGGCGGAGGAAGAGCGGGCTGTCCAGGCCAGGAGGCCCCAAGGCAGGGAGAAAGAGAAAGCCGTGTTAGTCAGAGTTCATCACCACCATCACCGACCACCGCCACCACGACCACCGACCACCGACCACCGACCACCACCACCGAGCAGCCAGGGCAGCAGCACACAGCGGGGAGGAGAAAGCGAGCCACGCCGAGAGGGAGGGACCGAACGGGCAACCCCATCCTGACTGCACAGAGCGGGGGGACCCGCTGGGGGGCCGGGCGTGGCTGCGGAGGGGGCGCTCCTGCTCGGCTGGCCCTGGGGGACGGGACTGGAGAGGGGCGGGCAGGTGAGGGGAGGCAGGAGGGGTTGCTCGTCTCCATGGTCGGCCTGCCCATGGGTGCACCGGTGGGGAAGTCCAGGGCGGACAGGAGCAGGAGGGGAAGTGAGGGCCAGGAGGGGAAGGAGGGCGTGCGCGGATACTCGGTACATAGGATCAAACCAGGTAAAGTCACTCACTTGAGGGACAGTCGTGGGTCGCCATAAGGGGCGTAGGGTGAAATGTTTAGAATAAACTCCTTGGGAGGATAGGAACTCCATTTCTGCTGCACTGTGCTCTCATTGTTATTCCAAAAGTCTCTGTCTAGATCGCTGGAGGGGCAGAGAGAGAGGGGAGAAAACAGGGAGATACAAGAAGAAACAAGAACCGCAAGTCCTGCGGGGGCAGAGGAGACGGGGCCCCGGGGCTGCGCACACAGAGAGCCGAGAGGGCCAGGGTCTGCTCCTGCGGGAGGAAGAGAGGCGGCAGCTGCGCCCCGAGCGAGCGAGTGCACGCGCACGTACACACACACACACACACACACAC